CTTGGATGTGCGGGTGGTGTAATGGATAACGGCACGGAATGAGTTCGAATTCCAACCAGATTCGTTACATTAACTTACGCACAATTACACTTGGGAACGTTATCAGTTCAGCTTTTCTAACATCGTCATTTATAGGGTAAATAGTAGTACTTGGATCTAAAAATAACTATCTCCAAAAATTGGTTAATTCTTTTCTTTGTGAGTGAATGATTCACTCACAAAGAAAAGAATTATTCTTACAAATCAAAAAAAAAAAGAGGTTTCGAGTTTAAATAACCTACAAAATGTTGATAAGACATATAAAAAAAAGTGCGTCTCCTTTTAGAAAGAGTTTTTTTTGTTTTTTTCATCTTTTATTTTCTCTTCTAGTTTTTTTTATCTTCGCTTTTCTTTTAACTTTCCCAATGTTTATACTTCTGTTTATTTTGCCTAACTTGCTGTCACTCCTATCACTTAAAAAAAACCAAAAAACTTTCACATTGTTGTCATGACAACGACTCTAACCTTCAGTCTCGAAGGTATACATTCTTATTTTTTAATAACTCCAAAACTGGGGAAAAAAAACAGCCACGTCAGATCGAAACTTTCGTATGGCCCTCGTGCACGGCGCCAAACTCGTTCAGAAATATCTAAACTGTCACCTGTATACAACCGCTTTCTCAGATCAATGGCTAAAAATGACTCCCAGTGAATAAAGTGTAAAGGTCTTAGCGAGGACTATCCTTCGAACCCGGCGGACTGGCGCTACATATTCACAAACAAAGAAATGTGCGAAATAACGGAAATCACACTACTTGAGGATTTTCAACAACAGCTAGAATAGCCAAAGAGAAAATAATGACATAACCAATATGTTGATGTTCCACACTACTTCAAACAAAAGGTTAGCAAGGAAACCCCCATCAGTACTGGAAAGTGAATGCCGAATGTTTTCTTATAAGGAGACAGTTAATGTTACCATTACCGTTCTTCTTCTCAGGTTGTAGACGATCATGGCTCTCCACAATTTCCTGTCCTTCGTAGCCCTTGAGAAACTTTGTCCTTCTGTTATTTCTCCTAAACCCTGTTCCGCCATCCATTTACTCACGCTCACTATGTTATGCTTTGCTTTCCTCTGTCCCTTTTTCCCACTGTCCTGTGAGTATCAGATTTTCCAAGCCCTTCTTCCTCATTATATGCCCCAGAAACCTCAACTGTCTCTTCCTTATGTTGAGTATTTGTTTCCTTTTTGTTTCCATTTTCTGCAAAATTTCGTCGTTACTGATATGTTCTGTCCACTGTATGCTCAACATCCTTCTGTAAAACTATATTTTTGCTGCTTCAAGGTCGTAAGTCCTACACGGAGACGTGAGTTGAAAGAAGCAAGTCATGTTAAAGAAATGTGCGTGGAAAGCGAAATTGATAGAGAAAAAGTAAAATAATTAGAGAAATAAAGAATAGATGAAAGCCTGACTTAAACAGTCAGGTCTAACATTAAACGGGATGATAAGCGACAAGGAAAAGAGAAAAGGGGGAAAAAAAAGAAAATATTGAAGATGTGGTAAGAATACAGAAATCAAGAATGAAAGCAAGTCTCTTTTTCATCTTTGAGGAGACTGTCCAGCACTCACTCACACGAGGGCAGATATCACATAGCAATTTAGTACTCTTTTCATTGTTTCTAGCTAAATTTTTCTGTTTCTTAGTATTGTGCTTAGCTCTTGGAATGCTTCCTCGACTATTCCAATACACCTCCGGAACTCAGTGTCGCTCCTCTGTTAAAACACTTCCTATATATTTAAATTTCAGCCCTTGTTTGATTTTGGTACCTCCGATTTGCCATTTGCACTTTGGGCTTATCCTTTTGCTAGCTACCATGCATTCTGTCTTTTTGCAGTTAATGTTTCCATTAATAAAGCATATTTCATCTACTTATCTAAGAACTGTCTATGATTGCGCTATTTATTTATTTATGTATGTGCATCATATCCATACCAGATGTCTGAAGACTATCTTTGGGGATTGAGCGACAGCAAGACCTCTCAAACCTCCTGTACATTTCACAGTATCCTTGCAAACCCCGTTACGCCTTATTTTAAATTCTTTTAGGGCCAGCATGCTCCATTCACTAATCATATGGTTTACCATCACATTTTTCCTTTATCAGTCATTATTTTGATATATTTTATCATCGTCTCGACGTAATTCATCATAATTCACTTGCTCTGGAATTATATGACATTAAGATGGATGTACGGGTTTTGTATTGGATGGCTGCTTGTGAAATGAGAAATCGGAGAGCCGAGTTCGAATTCTACTCGGCTTTATTGCATTCAGTTACAAAGACTCTTGGAAAAGTTATAAATCCATTTCTTCCCTCTAGCTATGGATTAAATAGTCGAACTTGTATCCGAAAAAAATCATTGATACTCTAAAAAAATTCCTTAATTCCATATGCACTCACTAGAAAAAAAGAATTATACTTACAATCCAAAAATTATATTTCAGCTTTAAATAACCTACAGAGGGTTGATAAGCTGTAAAAAACAAACGAATCAATCAACATATGATGTAATTCCGTAAAATGATTTTTTTTTAATTGGTAATTTGGAGTGTGTGTGTGTGTGTGTGTGTGTTTTCAATATACTAACTATATGAAGAGAGGTCGCGTTTTTGTTTCATTACTATCGAGAAAGTCCTCCAGATTACGAATTTCAAATATCAATTTTTTTTTTTTTGATTTTCAAGGATTTTCAAAGAAATCACGTCATATTGTTTTGGCTTGCGTATGGTGGATACACGCCATAATAATTTTTACAAACTTTAATAATTTTATCTTGACTGATACAATTCAAAGGGTTGTTCGGACAACTGAAATACGACCTGAATGGATGTGCAGGTGGTGTAATAGATAGCGGCTACCGATTTCGAATTCCAGCCAATACGCCGATCCGTTTTTCAAATTCCCGCTTTTAATCTGTTGCGTTCAGCTTCGCACTGGCACCATTGAGGAAAGTATGAATTCATCCTTCTAGGGGTTAAAAAGTAGCGTAGACTGCTCGCTCCGACTGTGGACAACAGTCAGCCTAGGAGAAAGACAACTAAATTCAAAACTTTGGGGAAAATAACAGGAAAACACCCTACTACTTTCCCAAGGAATCATGGTAATTCACTTGATAATAAAGAAACGGAATCTGTGAAGCACCATGTTTGTCTATGTTCTGAAGAGACACGGTATTTAAAAACTCTAACTAGTTATATATATATATATATATATATATATATATATATATATATATATCACATATAACTAGTTGCAATTGAACTCCGTGCATAAATAATGCATGTGTATGGTTTGAAGATCGAATTGTGACATAGAACTGACAGTCACTATGCAGTGTAGATTCCTATACTAAACTGTCTATAACTATAAACTCTCTATTTCCGATATTGGGGTTTCTTCCCCTATCTTACAAGGGCACATTTTTACAAATTATTCGTTAAAACGTAAAGAACATATTATGTCTGCTTGGTTAAATGACGCCAAAAATGATATTCTATGATAGTTCCGTTGTATGCAGTGTGCGATATCTATCTTAAATAAAAACAATTAATTATTTAAATAAGAAATTAGTGTGGTGTTCTCCCTCTAATAGTCTATGTTAGACTCTTCCGCCTACTATAAAATTAGTAGGAGAGAAGGCTTCGGGGAACAGGGAATAGTGAATGGATTGAGCGGTAGTTCATTCGATACACTCTTTCTAGTCGTGTCATACTCTTCTGTTGTACTTACTGATTAATATACGATATATCTGCAAACCTGGTTTTTGTTATCACAACAGAAATAAATAATAAAACTGAATACGCCTATATTTTTCAAAAACTTTAGAAAACCCCAGAATATTCAAGAAATATTTTACCTAAATATGTCCTGTCTTTGACATCGGAAATAACATTGTTACACCATCTTTTGATACTGAGAGCCGAAAAATAGAGAAAAGAAAGAAAAAGAATAATGAGAGTGTATAAAGAACTAAAAACTTATGAAAAGAAAAAATTACTACGACATCGTACACGTGTGCACATGCGCACACGTACAGGCATACACACGCACACAAACAGAAACACGCGCACACAAGTAAAAATAAAAAATAAACCGAACACCAAAAAAGGCGCATATTTTTTTTAACTAAATATAGAAATAACGAAAGTGAAAAATCCGCAGACAGTTGCTATCTCCTGACGAGTGGACTGAATGATTACAGAAAGTTTCGCCTGCGAAACGAAGTAGAGGTGCTGAATATAACTTCAATCTGCTGTAACAAATTTGATATTGATATTGATCCTATATATATATATATATATATATGTGCGTGTATATATATATATATATATATATATGTATATATATATATATATATATATGTGTGTGTGTGTGTGTGTGTGTGTGAGAGAGAGAGAGAGAGAGAGAGAGAGAGACTTTCAGACATGCGTGGGGGTCAATTGCTCGACCGTTTAGTTCAAGAGGAAAAAGCCAGCCGGTGATTATGGAAACACTGCCAGCCTGTGATTATGGTAACACTTCCATCCAGTTTAAGTTAATGATGTGACAAGTTGTCATAAATGGATTTGAGACATTTAGCGCACGTCATAAAGTGAGACTTTGTTGTAGGGTTATCTAACAATTCAGCGAGCTGAATTTGAATTTCGATCTGACTACAAATTAATGGTGGCCTCAGGCTAAAAGCAAGAGCTCTCTTATGCTGCTAAAAAAAAAATAAAAAAATAAAAAGCAAAACCCAGCGTAGAACTGTCATTGGTGTCACCTTACGAGAACATCTCTAGAAATGAATAGGCAGTGTCATTAATATGGCTGTCTGTCGGAACTATGCACGAATCCACTGAGGATATCCAAAAATGCTTCTAAGCGTCCAGTTTCTTAAGAAAAGACCGGATCTATAGGAGGAAGTGTTGTGCGTAACCCTAACATTGAACTGATTTTCGCGATTTTCATTTCAGAG